TTGGAATGCGTTTGCATTCCCAGCCATTTTACTTCCTTATTTTCCTTTCATTCCCTTTTTTTTAAAACCCCTTAAAAACCCACATTTCCATTTTTTCTATTCACATTTCACTTCACCTTAATTATCATTTTCACATCTTCAACCCCTCCAGAAAACTATCACATCCTCTTTTGGGGCGGTTCCTACACCCTTTATAAACCTCCCCACCATTCTTCGTGGCTCTCAGTCTTCTTTTTCACCGGGACCACGGCACCAAGTCTTCTCGATGGACTCTTCAACGACTCAACCTCGTCTGACATACTGTTGGCCCTCATCAACCAGGCTCTGTACAACGACTCTTGCTCGGCAAGCTCACAGATTCGATAGATTATAAGCGCCACATTTCGTGCTGTTTATTTGTTGTTTGCACGATTCTTCATCAGTAAGTCATAAACTTGATTTTACTTCTCTACAGTGTGCGTACGCTCAGAGCACCACGCCACACAGCGATCCACGCACATAAAACAACCCCATCACATAAAAATTTTTACTATAGAATGCAGAAGATCGAAAACTACAGGAAAATTAGAGCTTCCTGGAAATTGAGACTTGTCGTCTTTTGTTTCTGAATGATAGAGCCCACGTTTCTGGATGACAGGGTCGGCGTTTTAAACATACACCGGTTAACTTACCGGTACTTAATTATGCTCTTAATTTTAATCTTGAATATACTGTTTGTTGTGGGACAATTTTGCAAGTGAATATTACAAGAGGAAGGAGTGATCAAAGTAAATTAGAGTGTTAAAGATAGGAGAATTAGAACTTTTTGGAAAATGAAACTTGGTTTTTCTTCTTTCCGAATGGCGGAGCTGACCAAATTATCCTAATCCCATTAGACTGACCCTGATATTATGAGTCATCACATCGGTTCTGGTATTTCCGATTTCTACCGGGCTGAGAGATGGATTAGCAGATAATTTACCTTGAGCTACAATAATCTACTGTGGTCGCTTTCCGATCGCTCTGCCTTCCTCCGGCAATAGATTTAATTGCGAAAAAATGCACTTTTCTTGATTTGTTACCATAACTGGAAGCTTTCCGAATGAAAATAATTTTTTCGATGTTCCCCCGCAATTGAAAGTTTTCCGAATGAAATAACAATTAACTTATGCGTTTCTACATAACAATTGCACTATTGACTGGAGTTACACACAACTATTATATGTGCTCATAGAGATTTCGATAAAAAATAGTATTTTAGTGGTAGATTGGGGTTGCAACAGTGATATGGAGGAGTGGGAACGACATGCACGAAAACATCAGATTACAGGTAATATGTCCCAACCTGTATTTGGTAGTGGGTCGCATTTACACATTCTAGAGAGGCTAGTTACCTGTATAAGATGTTGCTCGTTACCTGCACAAGACGCTGCTCGTTACTTGCACGAAAACATCAGATTACAGGTAAAATGCCCTCACCTGTACCTGGTAGCGGGTCACATCTACACATTCTAGATTGGCTAGTTACCTGTATAAGAAGCTGCTCGTTACTTGTATAGACCGCCCACTCTCTCGCGCTGTAGCGCTTCCGCTCCGCCCTTTAGCTGTAGCCAAGACCAGCTCTGGTCCGCCCCGTTCGCTGCACCCTTCCCCAGCCTTCCCTCGGCTATCTCCCCTTCCCTCCCCGTTGCACCTGTGGCCCTTCATCCTTCCCAGCTGCATCCGTACCTTTTCCCCGCAATTTTATCCCCGTTTTCTCTCCCGCCCCCTCTCCCCAGCCTCTATAATGCACAGCAATACAGCAATTAGTGAATGCTTTATTTAATAGAAAATTAAAAAATCTCCATGAAATACATCGCTTCAAAACAAAGAACAAAGCAGTGTCATTTTTCAAATCATTTTTCAAACAGTCAAGCATGCATTTGGCCAATACATTAAAAAATCATTTAAAAAATTCAAATCAATATCATTTTCTCGGCTACAAGTAAGAACAAATGCATCGTATAGGGTATTTCCGTTTACTCTTGTTCATGGTTCGCTATCCAGTCCCCATCTTCTCTTAATCTAATTTACCCATCTAAAAATTCTTTCCTTCCCCTTTTCTCAGTCAACAACTTTTTCTAAT